AAACCTCAGTTCCAGTAGACTAGGGCTTAGGGGTGTAGGGTTTAGGGTTTAGGGGTTTAGGGGTTTAGGGGTTTAGGGTTTAGAGTTTAGGGGTTTAGGGGTTTAGGGGTTTAGGGTTTAGGGGTTTGCCATAGGCTTCGGCCATCCTTGCATGTTCTAGATGGGTTAAGTCAGGTTTGCTTCTTGCTTAGGTCTTTGTGACTTTGGGCTCTGAGGTTCAGGGTGTTGGGCTTGGAGTTTGTGCTGCCAAAAGTACATACCTGCACTTCTGGCACCCCATTTGCAATCTATTCACTTCCTGCACTGTGGATTTCGCCTCAACTCTCCACCGCTTACCCCAAAATCCCCCATGCCAAACGGAAACAATGCCACCCGAAGTCCTGCATAATCCCATCCCATCCTCATCCCACAGAGCCTGATGTCCCTAGTTCTCTGCAGACCAGAAGCTCTTGATCGGCTTGGGCCACCTCTCACAGTTAGGCTTTAGGGGGCTTTATGGCGTTAGAGTTTAGGGTTTAGGGGCTTCAGGGTTCCGGGCGGCTTCAAGATGTAAGGTTCACAGCGCTGGCATGGTGGGGCTGCAGGCTACTGCGGGGTTTGGGTTTTGCAAAAGCCACATAGGCTGCATGTGGGTGGGGTTCAGGCTACTAGCACTGCGACTGGCTCAAATCTCGAGCTCTGCCCTCGTGGAAACCAGGGACCACCAGACCCTCACACTTAAACCCTGAGCCCAACCTTCTAGAGGCTCCCGGGCGCGGCCCCAACGATTATCGATGATTGAAGACTTCCAACTTCAGTCCATACCAAGTGCAGCCACGGAGAAGGAACGCTGGGATGAGCAGAAAGCGACCACAACTTCAACACATTGTGCCATCGCGCTAGCCACCTTTAGGACGAAGCACCTGAGCCCTGAATATCCGAGACTCCCCCGCTCCCCCCCCTCTCTCTCTCTCTCTGTCTCTCGCTCTCTCTCTCTCTCTCTCTCTCTCTCTCTCTCTCTCTCTCTCGCTCTTGAGTCATAGGAGCCTCGCTGCAAGCGAAGTCAGGATTTGCACCTACGCAGACCCCAAAGACTTCCCTACAACCCCCCCAAAAGAACGCCCAAAAAACGAATCCGCTCCAAGTCCCGGAGTGCCCAGTACCGGTTATCTAAGGACCATGCCTTACAGGGTTTAGGGTTTAGGGACGAAGGCTTACTTAGTTGTAAGGCCCCCCCCCTCCCATTGTTCAAGACGGTCGTCGCGATGCTTCATCACTGTTGGGGGATCTACGCCGACATAAAATGTTTTTTTACACCTAAATGCATAGGTGTCTTATTAACTTGACCACGGTTTGGGAGTAGACTAGAGTAGAATTCCACAGGGATTATCAGGCGGGGATTATTCGGAGATTCGTGGGTCTGTCAATCCTATAAACCCACATAGGGCCTTAATAATTAGAGTAGGGCTTTGCGGCCAATGATGCTCTACTTATAATCAGGAACCACCACAATCCTATTTTAATTATGAAGGCCCCTATGTTACCTACTCGTTACTTCGGGCGAAAGGCTTTCATCGTCTGCTGCACGAAGACAGCGCTCACCTGGACGCAAGAACCCAGCTCTGCAAGGCTTGCTGTGTTGGTTCCTTCCAAGGCTTTAGGGTTTAGGGTTTAGGGTTCTACACTATGACAATAAACCAAGTGCTATAGTATAATTCATACGATAATGTACTATAGTTGAAACATAATCTACTATGAATCTGCTAGAAGATACTATAACATCCATACGCATCCATATTTTTCTCTCATGAATATAATATACCACCGTAAACTCGGGTTCTATAAGGACTTCAGGGTTGTTTTGGAGGGAGGGGCTGGTATGGTTTGTGGCATGATTTTGGGGGCCTTCATAACTAGAATAGAGCTCAGGGTTTCTGGCTTACTGTAATAATATATAGCTATAAAAAGGGGCCCTAAGAGACACTTTGTATTCGCAACTATCAAGGCCTCTCTTTCTACGGCGGTTCAGGGTTTAGCTTTCGGTCTATGCAGTGATCAAAGTTTAGCATTCAAGGTTTTTGCGGTTCTATAGGCAGGAACAAAGGGTCTGATGACTTGTGTCATTCCCTAAACCCCCAGGTACCTACTATAGAGGCTACTAGAGCCCCTAGGGCCCTAGATAGTAGCTACCTGGAGGGTTAGGGATTGACTTCCTCAGATCAGAACATGCCGAAGTCCAAGAATCACGTCAAACAAACAACTGATAGATGCCAAAGACTGGAAGCCATTTGCTAGCTCCGGCCGCCTCCGCCGAAAGCCTTTTCATCCATGGCACATCTGCTATTTTCCAGAGGAAACGCTCTAGACTCTGAGTCAGCCGAGGGTTGTTCAGAAAGATAGGACACCTGACTTTCCCACAGTGGGATGAAGGCGATTAGGATTTAGGGCTGCGGGTGGCCTAGCGCAGGAGCTGTGCTGGAAATTTCCCAACCGGCATCAATTTTCTCAGGTCCTAGACGCCCAGTTGACTTAAGCTATAAGAAGCCCTATAGTACCGATACCTCCGTAATCAAATGACTTGATTTGTAACCGGGCTTCTAAACTGGTTCTGTTTCGCGGCCCAGTGGCAACATTGAGCACGGCGAAGCCTACCAAACAGCGGTAGAAGATGAAGATGTAAATAAAGCCTTCGCTGACCTTGGCATTCTGAGGTTGCAGCCTTAACCCCCCTAAACCCTAAAACCATTCGTTCAAGGGTGCTTCTGCGGGTCCCCCTAAGAGCTCTTTAAGGGCAGCTTTACGGTTTCTGTAGGGTTTGTTCAAGTGCCTGTTGGCAGCCACTGTCTTGGCATTCGCTTTAGCATCCACGATCACAAATACATGAATGAATACATACATACATACATACATACATACATACATACATACATACATACATATATATATATACACATATGTATGTATGTATGTATGTATGTATGTATGTAGGTAGGTAGGTGGGTAGGTA